TTCCTGATCTTAAAACTGCATTTGTTTGTGAGATGCTCCTGGCCTTTGTTTCCGTTGTACTTAGATCATAACCCAGTTATAATCTTATTACATTGTTATTATTAATGCTTTTTTAAAAGTTTTACTATTCATCACTAGAGTATAAATTCTTTGTAGACTGGCAAAGCTCTCTTGTTAACAATTACAGCCCTAATGTCTACCACTTTGTACAGTTAGTACTTTGTAAGCACTCAGTAATTGTTCATTAAATGTAAAGAATGAATGGTGTATGTGAAAGGTGAAGCTAGATAAATCTAATCATGCTTAGATCCTAGAAAAGGGCCTATGGTTCATGTTGCTGAGCGAAAGTTATTTAGGCAGTTCGTTTAGCCATTTCACGTGACCAGTGTGTTGATGTCTAAATTTAGTTTACTTGCTCTGTGTCATTGTCTTTAAAGCCAAACTTCTCAATAAAACCAAACCAAACAAAAAATACACCCCCAGCAGTTTGTATTTCAGCTCCCCATCCCCGACCAGATAACTTTTTAAAAAATATTTTATGTTTGTGAGTACAGAGTAAGTATGTATATTAAGGGTATGTGAGAGATTTTGATGCAGGCATACAATATATAACAATCACATCAGAGTAAATGGGATCCATCACCTCAAGCATTTATCATTTCTTTGTGTTACAAATGTTCCCATTATACTCTTTTAGTTACTTTTAAATGTACAATAAATTGTTGGCTGTAGTCACGCTGTTGAACTATCAAATATTAGATCTTATTCAGTATATCTAACTGTACAAAATAACCTTAAGTTTGAATTGTAGAGGCATTTTCACAGTAGCAACCAGTTGGTAGTTACTCTGCCACTGACAATAGCTGTAGGTCACACTCATTGTTTCTGAGTGACAGCCACACACAGTAGATACTCATGTTCCCACCTCGTTCATCTTCAAATGTGAAGGACTCCAGCGACACTCACATTTAGCCCTTGGATCTTTGGTAGTAAAGATGAATCTTTGTCATCCCCAGGACCTTGTCTTTTTGTTTGTTTGGTATATGGAATGAAATGACTCAAGTGCCTTTCTTCAGTTATTTAAGTTGTATAGTATTATAAGATCAACCATAGAATATTATTGGGCATCTTGGAATGGTATCTTTATCATCATCTAGTTGACGATGCTTCTTCCAGTTTTGTTTCCTGTTGCTTTCATCCTATCACTGTCATTAATTGCACTAAAATAATAATTCTCTATTCTGTGCCCTGATATACTGTTTTATTACAATTATTTGGAAGGTCTTGTTACTGCACATTAAAGAACAATTCTACCATATGTGAATTATTTAAAATTTAAAAACATAGTCATTCTTACTCATTTCCATTCTGATTTTCGTATAGGAGATAAAGATGGAATTATAGCTACACCAATGATGAGAAATTGGTGGTGAACAGTGCCATATACCTTTCACTCTCTCCCTGCCCATTTAGACCTCCATAATTATTAATAGTTATAATGTGCTTTCACAATGCAACCTACTGTCCAGTCTCAGCACAGGAGTACTACTTGTCAGGTTTAGTACTCAAGATCCCAGTACTAGCTTTCCTTGTATAATTCCCACTTGTCCGCTTTGCACAAAATACCTGTTTGCATATATGTGCCCTGAGGTTTGTCTACACATAGTTATTTCTGAGCTCATATTTCGGGTGCTATTTATTCCTCTTCCATGCTGTTCTTTGTGGTGTCTACTAAACATTTGTAACGATGTGGTAACAGTTAACATTTCTGAGTGGTTGTCATGATGTAGCAGGTACTGTGTTAAGTGCCTGACATGTATTATTTCATGGAATTCTTGTACTAACACCAAGAGTTTGGGCCCATTGTTCTTCTTATTTTATAGATGGAGAAACTAGGGCAAGGCTAAATAATTGGTAAATGGCAGAGCCTGGGTTTCAATCAAGGCCACCTGACTTCTGAGCCCAAATTGTTAACCTCTGAGGTAGTCCTTAAAGAAAGTTGGGTTAAAACCAAACTGATTGATAGTGAAAATGCTGCTTTTGTCTGTGTGGGCAAAATGCTGCTTTTTGTGCCCCCCCCCCCCCTTTTTTTTATGTTTTCCCAGATTCCAAATCAACTTGGCATAACCTTTCAAGTCTCTAAGAAATTTATAGGTTTTTATCTATTAAAAAAATCTACTGGTAGACTTCATAAATATGACTTAGATTTTTATTAAACTCTTTTGCTTGTATCTTTCTGTATCTCAGAAAACCTTTAATTTTTGAGACAGTAGCTATGTGTGTAGGCTGTCTTATACGTTCACAGATGGCATTATTTTATCAGTCCTCAAACCATCTGTAGCATCAACTTAGTCTATTTCAATTGGTGTCATCTTTCATTTATGCAGGAGTGAGTTATTAAAGTAAAACTTTATATTTGTGTAGCATTTTGGGTAAATGTTAGAGTAAAACATTGGTTTATTTTATCACAACAATCCTTTGCAAAGAAAATTAGTTTTTCCAGCTCATCTTGATTTACTTTATATGTAGTCTTCAGAATGAAATTGAATTGAATAACTGTTTACTGAGCACAAATCGTTATCCTGAAATGTAGGTATAAGAAATGACTCCTGTCCTCACTGAATTGACAGTCTTACAGGAAAAACAGTGAAGCAGTAAATTCCAACTGAAGAAGAAATACGATTATGATTACCATTATGAGAAAAGACGGTAGCATGGGAAATGATGGCAAAGGGATTAAGTCTGGTCTAGTGAGTCTGTAAAGGCCTTTCAGAGGAAGAGTGGGTATGAGTTCACCAAATGAAGTGTAGCTGATGGGCAGTAGGGAAGAAGAAAAGAATCTTCTAGGCAAAGTGAGCAGCAAATGAGAGAGAGCCTCCATGTCAGTGAGCTTGGAGTAACTAAGTCATTGAAAGATATGCAGTCTGACTGGAACTTAAGAGTAGTAGGAAGAGAGTGATACATGATCTTAAGGGAGACCCGAGAGCTAAACAGGCATCAGTTGTTTTGTAAGACAATTAAAGATTCTGGATTTGAACCTAAGATGAATGGCAAGTTACAGATGAGCTTAAAGCAGAGGTGTGACATGAACAGATTTGGGTTTTAGGAAAACCACTTGGGCTGCAGTGTGGAGAATGAATTGGAAAAAGGAATAGAAGCGGGGAGGAAAGTTAGGAGGCTGTTTCCATATGATTTTGACTTAGCCTATAGTAGTGGCAGGAGACGTAGAGAGAGGTAGATGGATTACAGAGGCCAGCCTGCTGAGCATGGAAGAGCCAGCCTTTGTGTGTACAAAGTTCTGTCTTGTTCTCCTACGTTATACTAACAAATGATCTTTCTATATATAAGAGTATGAGCCAGAGAAAAATGGAACAAAAAGAAGGCCTGAAGTTAGTATAGAAGCTCTGTATTATGAAAATGCATGATCTCACAGGTAGTTACAAGGATAATAAAGACAAAAGCACTCAACTAATTGGAAAGTCCTCAGTTTAATTGTAATCTAGGCAGGATCCTGGTCTCAGATTTGATCTTCATATCAAATTTGCTCTTCATCTCAGATTTGCTCTTCATATTCTGTGTGTGATGTCAACAGAATTTTGAGAGACAGTCCTGTTTATTCAGTGGTTAATGCCTCCTTTCCCCCACAAACATCAGTTCATTCTTTCATCCACTTCCTTATTTATTCATTCATTCATTTACAAACACTTCAAATCCTTACTGAGAGCCTACTACTCACCAGACATGTTTACTTATCTTAGTTTTTAATACTACACATGGCCATTATACCTAGTGTGGACCTTTGATGTTTGTAGGTACTTCATGGACCACACCTCATTTAGGATACTTTTAGTCCATCAGGTTTCCATTTTAAGTTGGCTCATCACTTAAAGTGTAGCTGTTGGGAAAATCCTACAACCCTGATCTCATACGTATCTGAATGTCATATTCTCTGCACTGTCTGTTGCTACTCCTTAATCTTTGGTCAGGGTCAGTATGTCTAATTCCGTTTCATTCAAACAGTTGATCAGTTCAGCCATCACCACCACCACTAAGTAGTCTTGTTGGTCATTGTTGAGCTATTATATTAGCCAAGGTAATGCAAGCTATCAGCAAACAAACAAATTCTCCCTCTAAGTGGTTTAAATACATTAGAAGTTTATTTCTTGCTAATCTAAGTTCAATTGGTAACAGATGGGGGAAAGGTGGATTTTCTGCCCCACTATGGATGGACTCAGGCTGATGGAGTCACCATGAGGCTCACAAGCTTACCTAGTCGGCAAAGAGGGTTAGGCGAATGTGAAAGCTTATTCAGGAAGTTTTTATGGGTCAGGACTAGAGGTGGCTTTCTTCATTCCCACCCATGCTTCAGAACTCAGGTACATGGCCATACTTAACTACAGGAAAGACTGGGAAATGTAGTCTGTGTGTTTGCCTGGTGAGCCTGTCTTTGTCAAACCCAGCTGGTGAATTTCCTTGTACAATACCTGCTCTTTGATTCAGATAATAAGAGGCGTTGAAGGAAGGACAGATGTAGTGTTGTTGGACTTTTTCCTTAGTTCAGCTAAAGACAGTGGGGTTGAGGGAAGGTGGTCCTGTTACAAAGCCATAAAAAATTAGGCTCACAGACAATTTGAAGGAGGAGAAAAATGGAATTTATTGGGCAAAAAGGAATAAAAAGGCAAACAGGGACTCTACCAAGACAGAGCTAGAATCCTGCCGGTACACTTCCTGCCTCAGACTGTAATCCCCGATTCCACTCAGGAGGAGGAGGGGCCAGGCTCCTCCCTGTTGCCAAAAGGCATGAACTTCTATGGCTCCACCCCCTTGGAGTTTTGCCAGGGAGCCCTTTCCACCTGACAGTCTCAATATGGAGTTTCATTTGTGCCTAGTAAGTAAGTGGCTGTGTCACAGTCCTGGGCATTAGAGTGGGAAATGGTGGGAAATGTCTACATTCTGAATTCCTAACATATCTGATAATTGCTATTACTCTTTTCTCACAGGGAAATAAATGCCCGACTTGATGCTGTATCTGAAGTTCTTCATTCAGAATCTAGCGTGTTTGGTCAGATAGAAAATCATCTACATAAATTGCCCGACGTAGAGAGAGGACTCTGTAGCATTTATCACAAAAAGGTAAGTGTGATAGAAATCTATTAAAAGCTGGCAGTGTTCTTCAGCTTGAGGATGCTTCATATTGAAGGAAAACTTCTTCCAGCTCTATTGTTACTTTATTTTGTAAAATCTTAAAAATAGCATGGGAGAGTAGCTGAATCCTCAGAAATTTTAATAGTACAAATTAGAGTTATTCCAATTTTTCCATTATAAAAAATAAAGTTTTCTCACATGTATTAACTACAGCAACACAGAGGCCCTTCTGTTATAATACAGGATATCTCCTGTTTTATCCTGAAAGTACAGACTGTTATCAAAATAGGAAATTTATGTAGAATTGTTATTTTAGAAAAGAAATACCTTATTTCTTTTGATGTTAGAACAACTTATTATTTGACTTAAACTAAGGAAAAATCTGCTGGTATAACATCTGTTGTGGTAATTAGTATGCAAACAAGCTTGGATATTGAAGGTGAGTATAGCATTATTTTGACTTTTATCGCTTAAGCTTTACAGTTTGAGTCATAGCAAAAATGAGTTATTTTCCACTGTTAGGGAAATAATTTAGGTTATCTTCAAAATATGCCTAAAATTAAAAAAATGTATTAATGTTTTTAAATGATAAAAAAACACTAGAAGCTCTTCATGGTGTTTTACTTTTTGCAAAAGTCATTCACATACCTTATACTATTTGTTCCTTGTCAAAATTTTATGACATTGAGAAGTTACTATTTTTATTACCTTCTTAGTAATGGGAAATTATATCTAATGCTATATATGTGTGTGTGTATATATACATATATTATATATGAAATACATGTAATGTATATGGCCAGGTGCCTGATGCCTGTAATGCCAGCACTTTTGGAGGCCGAGGCAGGTGGATCATCTGAGGTTAGGAGTTCAAGACCACCCTAGCCAACATGGTGAAACCCCATCTCTAATAAAAATGCAAAAAATTAGCTGGGTGTTGTAATAGGGAACTGTAATCCCAGCTACTCTGGGGGATGAGGCAGGAGAATCACTTGAACCCAGGACACGGAGGTTGCAGTGAGCTGAGATCACGCCATTACACTCCAGCCTGGGTGACAGAGCAAAACTCTGTCTCAAAAAAAATATGTATATATTGCCGGGCGCAGTGGCTCACGCCGGTAATCCCAGCACTTTGGGAGGCCAAAGCAAGTGGATCACGAAGTCAAGAGATCAAGACCATCCTGGCCAACATGGTGAAACCCCGTCTCTACTAAAAATACAAAAATTAGCCGGGTATGGTGGCGCACGCCTGTAGTCCCAGCTCCCCGGGAGGCTGAGGCAGGAAAATTGCTTGAACCCAAGAGGCGGAGGTTGCAGGAGCCAAGATCGTGTCACTGCACTTCAGCCTGGTGAAGGAGCAAAAAAAAAAAGAAATGTATATATTGCTGCAACCACTTGAATTACCTTGGCTAATATGTTGATGCCGAGAGGCTTAGTAATTTGCTAGTAACAGAATCTGTATATAGATCAAGGATTCTTGACTGTGGTTTCAGTGGCTGTGTCTTTTGGATACTGTCATATTTGATATAGTTATCTTGACTGGCATTTTTTTTTTTCTGGTTGCCACTTTTCAAAGGCAAATTTTATTTTTTCTTCAAATGTAACTCCTTGCCAATTTAATACTTTTACTGTAGAACAGTTTTTATATGTCTAAATTTTATTTTATCTTTTTATTTTATTTTATTGAGACGGAGTTTCACTCGTGTCACCCAGGCTGGATTGCAGTGGAACAGTCTTGGCTCACTGCAGCCTCCACCTCACAGGTTCAAGCGATTCTTCTGTCTCAGCTTCCCAAGTAGCTGGAATTCCAGGCACCTGCTACTACACCTGGCTAGTTTTCATATTTTTAGTAGAGATGGGGTTTCACCATGTTGGCCAGGCTGGTCTTGAATTCCTGACCTCAGGTCATCTGCCTGCCTTGACTTCCCAAAGTGCTGAGATTACAGGTGTGAGCCACCCCCCACAGCCTATATGCCTAAATTTTAGTTGTGACTGATTTTTCATTAGTGTTTCCAATTTTTTGGCTCCTTCCCCTCCCCTACAGAATTTTACTAGCGTCATAAGTACTGCTTCTAAGAATACTTGAGGTGCCCAAGAGGACTTATGTAACTGTTTTACATGCTTCAGCTAAATTTGAAAACAATGCACAAGCCAGAATTGGGAATATTCATTCTGGGAAGAAAGATGTATGAGTTGGTTATGGGGTCAATGGAGCCTATTGCATCATAATTGGGTACACCATGTTTTGCTGGCAATAGCAGAAGCTGTGCTGATAGTCACAAGTTTTAGAGTAGACCTTTTTGAAGTTGCATAGTGGGTAACAAACCATTTGTTGTTTTGTATGCTTGGCTCGGAGCCTGAAAATTGGTGCATATTAACCTTCTTTAAACAGCAGATCTCCAGGCACTTTGCCTTAATTGTTTGAAAGGATTCACTGATAGATGTCAGATATTTTTGTTTTCTTAAGAGAAAACAGAAGCAAAGCTGAAAATCTTTCAATGTCTGCTCAAACGCACTAAGTCAAAGTGTCCATGGCATCAAGATGGCAGCATCAGTCCATGGGGCTATGATGTTGTTTGTATTGCACAGGGTTTGTGTATTTATAAAAGTTTCAAAACTCTACTAAAGTCAGAATCTAATTCATTTAAAAAGTGACCAGTATGCAGTGCAAGAATGACTTATTTTGGAATTTCAAAATTTATTTTACTAAGGGAACTTATGACTCACTTGGAAGCCATTCCTTGTTGCTGTTTTAGTGTTTTGTTTACACAAGAATGTGCCTAAAGAGTAGATTGAAGGGTGAAGAGTAGAAATGATCTGGTAACAAACCAACTTCAGGAAAGCTGAATGCTTTAAACCAATGTTGTATAGATAAGTTGGCTGGCTCTAGGAATGCATCATCAAACATATGTCTGTCCTTTATCATTAGATTACTCTAAATAAGCTTCTGCTATGTACACCACATAGTGAGTGATGTCCTGGGTACAGATTGTGCCAATTATGTGAAATTCATAAAATGAGAAGGAACACTGGATGTTGTTGGAAGTGGTCAGCATAGGCTGTATGCTTATGTGGAAAGTGTCCTGGAATATGTACCAATAGGTGTTTCATGGTGATAATGATAGAAGATCTCAAGTGAGCTGATTCTGACATAAAGTAAACATTTCTTTTTTTTTTGAGGCAGGATCTTACTATGTTGCCCAGGCTGGAGCGCAGTGGTGTGACCACAGTCCACTGCAGCTTCAGCCTCCAGTCTCCTGAGTAGCTGGGACAATAGGCACGTGCCACCATGCTCAGCTAGTTTTTTATTATTATTGTTATTATTATTTGTGGATATAAGGCCTGGCCATGTTGTCCCAGCTTTCTCCAACTTCTGTGCTCAAGAGATCCTCCCTCCTTGGCCTCCCAGTTTGCTGGGATTACAGGCATGAGCCACCATACCTAGTCTAAAATAAACATTTCTTTTGATGCCAAAACATCAAATTCAAATCTTGTAAATAGTGCTAGTCACAGAAAGTAACTTTGCTCAAGAACCATTTTGTAAGAAAGTGTTAAGTAACTGCCAAGGTTGGTGAATACATTTAAAGGATAATCGCACTTAGCAAATGTTGAGGAGAGTGTTTTCAGAATTTTCTAGGTGAGAATCACTTTTAGCCAGGCAGGAATAAGCCCAAAGCCGCATTTTCAGTGTGGCACTTAGACTGGGGTCCTTCCCATCCTGTGTCCTATAAGGCCCTGTCTCCACACTTGTGAGTGTGCTCAAGCTCTCTCCCAATGAGACAGCTGCTGCCAGAAGAAGGGCTGAACTCCTGGAGAGTGACTCCAGGAGCAGCCATTTACCCATCCTCAGCTTTCTTACAGCTTCTGAGTTCTTTTGCTTAAGAAACTTGAGAACAACTTGCTACTTCCAGCTTTCAGTGTGATTGTAAAGCACTACTGGTTTTCACCCTGCTTCTGTTGCTGACTTTACATTGTATCTCAGCTTGTAAAATTAATCTTTTTCTTGGATTAATTTAATAATTACAAGAGGATAATAATCAAAATTATATGGAAAATGTTTATGTTTAGTCCTTTGCTTTTTGTTAAAAGGTATCATTAATTGACTAGTGGCCAGAAAGCTTCTGGGTTTCACATTTATGTACACAATCCAGCTTGCTGTACGGGATGGGGAGGAGGTTTTTCTGGAGAAAAGTTGCCTCATGATACACTTAGAACTCAACATTTGCTCAGTTGGACCTAACTTCTTATTTTTTTGTATGATTTATTTAACCCTTTGTGGTTAATAATTACCTTCTTGAATATGTTTTTAGCCTTAATCTATTTCATCTATACTACTTATTATTTGCCTTATTACTTTACCCTTAAATTGTTTTCTCATTTCAAGACATTTCTTTTCAGCCAATATTGTGTCAGTTTTATTTTCTTTAACTGTCTTCTAGAGCCTTCTGACTTGATCCATTACAGTACTATCTTAGATTCCCTTTACTTCTCTTGAGTTGAATTTTTTGTTTTCTACATTCTGTGTCTTCCTCTTAGTTTATTCCTTCATTTTGGTGGAGTGTATCCTCTGGAACCACATTATGGAAGTAAATCTTTTAAAACATTCATGTTTGGAAGTGTTTTTTTTTTTAATTGTTATTACTGCCTTCACATTTGATTGGTAGTTTGGATGAGTATAAAATTCTAAGTTTTAATTGACTTTATTATCTTTACTACCTCTTCTGTTGAATTTTTCATTTCTACTGTTATACTTTAATTTCCAAGAATTTTTGTTTTCTTGTTCTCCACATGTTTTTTCTTTTTAAAAAAGTAGCATCTTGATTCATGGTTGTAATATCTTCTGTTTCATGGAAGATATTAATATGTTTAGAAGTTCTCTAGCAAGGCACAATCTGACCTGATACACAAGTCTTTTGGATTCTTGATGTAAACTGTGTCTCAATTTTCCTTAAGGGCAGTTTAAAACTCAGGTACCTCGAGTCTTTTAAGTCAATTACTATTTATCTGTTTACTTTATAGCTTCTAACATATGTTTGCTGTTGTCCTCTTTTCTAGCGTGATTTTATGCCTTTTTAAATAATCCCTTAACTGTCGTTTCAAGATGGAGAGAAATTAGATGCATGTGTTTAACCCACTCTGTTTATCAGAAGCTACAATGTAAAAATTATTTATGTTCATGTTAAAAAAAAGAAAAAAGATACTACAGTAGTATGCATGGGTATAAAATAATAGGTAAAAAGTTTCCCTCTGCCACCCTTCCATACCTAATACCCAGAGGTAACCAGAAGTAAGTCACATGTGTTAGCTCCTAAAATATTTATTGATATTTATATTTTTTATTTATATTGAATAATGCATCTCATTTAAAAAAATCACAAAGTTACCATGTAAATACATAAAAATGTATACATATGTGGTATATGATGTAAACATACTATGTATATTCATTATATGTTGAAATTACAGAGTTCTGTGCTGAAACAAACAGATCTTAATTATTTTAGCTGTTTCACAGTATTACATTGCATGAGCTTTTCCTAATAAGATCCCAATTGCTGGATATTTATTTCTTATTCATCTTTTCAATATAAGCAGTGCTACTATGAATATTCAGACACATTTTTTCACTATTTGTTAAAGTCTGTTTTTAGATAAATTATTTAAAGTGGTAATTATCAAAGAGTTATATGCATTTTTTTATTATGAAGACATGCCAGTTGTTTCTCAAAAGGATTAGTCCTCTGCTAATGGTTTATGAAAGTCTTTTTTTTTTTGGCATCCTGTTACATGGTTATTTTGAAGCTTTTAAATCTTTGACATTCTGATAAGTGAAAAATGCTATCCTATATTTTTAATTTGCTTGTCTTTAGTTATATAAGAAGATAATCATGTACCTACTGGCTATTCTCTTTCTATGAGCTGCACATTCAGTTCATTTAGCCATTATTCTTTGGATTATTCATCTTTTTCATGTCAATTTGTAAGAGCCCATTATATTTGGGAGAATTTTGCTCTGTGTCTGTTATGTCTTACAGATATTATTCTTCACATTTTTTTAGCTTGTCTAACATATTTTCGCCATATGGTTTGTGTATTTTAAAATGAAAAAATACTGAACAAGAATTGGCTTTGTTTTCCCTGGCTAAAATTATTTTCTTTATGCCTTTAAAATATTACATAGTATTTAACCTCATTTAGAAAATATAGTGATATTTTATTTCAACTAACTAGTTAATAGAAAATAAAAACTTTCCTTAATTCTGATTCTAACTTTTAAAAGATCACTAATTAAACTTCATTTTCATGTATCTTATGCTATTGTGGTAAAAAATATTTCTATTTTCAGTGTTCTACCCAAGAGTTCTTCTTGATTGTCAAAACCTTGTATCACTTAAAGTCAGAATTTCAAGCAATAATACCTGCTGTTAATTCCCACGTTCAGTCAGACTTGCTCCGGACCATTATTTTAGAAATTCCTGAACTCCTCGGTCCAGTAGAGCATTACCTAAAGATACTCAATGAACAAGCTGCCAAGTAAGTACTAGACCCTCAATTCTTCCTTTTCAGCAGTCAGTATAATCTAGTGCGTTTGCCATTTGACTTGTGGATTCTTAATCTTTACTAGACTAATAATAGAAGTTGCATGAGTATACATATCATTAGAAATGTGATTGGATCCTAAAATATTACATTATATCTGGAATACTTGCTTTCTAAAATGTAGGCAGTTTTGTCTAGGACAGATATAGTTCTTCCCCAGGTATCAGATGATGAAAAGGTAAAACACAGGCAAAGCTAAGCAGTAGTAGCTTCTTAACCCCAAAATGAGTGTCAGATAGTATCTTGTACTCATTTCCTGTATTTCCAGAGATGGCCTTATATTTAGAATCTGTAAAAGCAAAGTTATCCTTTAAAAGGTAGTTATTTTACAATGTATTGCACAAAACGTTGTACATAAATGAAGTAAGATTTGACATTTACATTTGTCTTTGCTTTCTGCATAGGCAAACAACAAATAGTTTATTACTTGGTTTTACCATGGGAATCATGAACTTATAAGACAATATGATATTAGGGCAATTTTGACCATCCTCAGAAAAGTTAAAAAACCCATAAATGCTTAGTGACAATTGGAACCACATTTCCGTGTCTTCTAGTGCTTTCCTCTTTCATCACACTTTGAAAAATGAGTGATAACTGCTCTAATTAATAAACTTTGAATATGCATTTGCATTTTTTGATTTTTTAGAGTTGGAGATAAAACTGAATTATTTAAAGACCTTTCTGACTTTCCTTTAATAAAAAAGAGGAAGGATGAAATTCAAGGTGTTAGTGACAAGATCCGAATACATTTGCAAGAAATAAGAAAAATACTAAAAAATCCTTCTGCGCAATATGTGACAGTATCAGGACAGGAGGTAACGTCAAACCTACTTTTATTTTCTATTAGTTTTCCTCTAGTAGAAAAGCTGTTTTAAAATGTAAATAAAAATCTGAAGATAGGATATGTATTATCTTTTCAAATTTTCTGTTTTGTTCCTTGGAAATATGTTATAATAATTTGTTTTGATAAGAATTCTTTTAATGATGGTGTTTTATTGGTCTCTTGTGAAAGTAATACAACTTAATGTTATATGTGTCTTAGTGTTATTTGTTGAAATTATATTATAGAAATCTCGATTATTATGAATAGCAACTTATAGAATTCATTTGTTTTAAATCCAGGAAAGAGAAATTAGTCTTTGATCTCTGCCTTACAGATGGTGAAAAGATACAAAGTGGGCCACCTGTGTTGATTGGCTCATACAGTGATTAAATGCAGGCTTCCTCCTAAAGAGTATAGTTCCTAAAAAAACAAATCTAGAGGGAGAAACTACATTTAGTGAGTCTTCTGTAAAATTATTGTACTGTTTAGAATATGTTTCTTGGGGGTGTGTACTTCTGTTTAAAGTTTGATTAGGAATGTCTGAATGCAAACCAGAAAAGGAAGAAGAAGTATGCCTTTTAAATATGGTTGTGCTTTTCAATCCTATTCTGAGTCTTGAGGCATGCTACTCCTATATCTTATGTTTAATAAAATATGAAGATTCAACCTGGGGGAGTCTGAGAATTTTGTTTTATTAAAATAGCAAATTAGGAAAGTTATGGATAACATCTATACAGTGAGCATTTTATTCAGGATTTTTAAAAAAATACATATTTTTCTGGTGGGAAAGAACTTAATTTCAAATCAAATTTTTAAATACTTATATTGCTTTGTGTGTTTTGCCAAAAGATTGTTGATTGTATAGTTATTTGAAATAAGCAGCGCTACAGTAATTGAGAATGTTCATTAAAGCGTTTATTAGTGTTGTGCTATTTCATAGATTTACCCATTAAATCAACCTACTAAAATTATTAAGATGTTATACTCAGCAGACATTCACAGTGCCACATGGAGCTCTATATAACAGAAAAATGATTTGACAGTATTTATACTTATGTTTATTGTCTGAACAGACAAATTCCAAATATTTAATTGTAACTCTTGTTTTTACTATGCAGTCATGACCTTGCAAAGTGAAAATTGACCTAAGGCCACTATTCTGGCTATTGGTTTAAAATCAGATGATTAACACTGCTTTAGTTACTTTTATAAAAGACATGTAGTAGAAAAGTGGCCACCTGGTGTACAGTGGAGAAAGCTAAGTGTCAGTGCCAGTTCTACCATTTACATGCTGTCTGACCATGAGAGAGTTACCTCAGTTGTAAGACTATTATGGAGACCAGTACATGAAAGTGCTTTTTAATCATAAAGTGCTATGCTTATGCTACTCATATAGTAACAACAATGGTAATACAGTTACCATTTATCAAGTACTTGTTAAAGTCTAGAATGGTGGTAGATGCCTATATATATTATCCTATTTAATTCTTATAACAACACCAAAAAGGGTCATTCCAGTTTTGCTGAAAAGAAAACCAATGTTTGGAGTAGATTAGTTACCCAAGGTCGGAAGCACAATTCCATCCCAATTCTGCCAGACCCCAGTCTTTCAATTTTATTAATATCAGTATTTCACTCCATTTATTAATTCCAAATATTAACAGAAATGATTCTCAAAACCATGGATTTTATCTGACAAAATTTAGACATTTTAGAGCTCATAGTTTTCAAAATAAAATAAAGTTTAAGTCTTGGAAAGACACTCCTGGATTCATTTGGCAATTTTTCAGTAAAAATGAGGGAAAATTAACAGGAATTCAGAAGAGATAGTAGACTATCTTTTATTCATTATGATTGTGGCGTTGAGGTTTAAGAAAAAGTATAGTATGGAGATCAACAAATTATATTAACAATTATTACAAAGGAAGATCAGTTATCTTTTGTCTCCACTAGGTTAAGTTGATGAATTTGAGGAACAAAGTTTCTTCATTATTAATAGTAGGAGGGATTCTTGTTGGTTTGTAATAATCTTCTCTAGGATTTTAGTGGAACATTAATATGAATTGCTTTCATAAAACATTTTGAAAACTAATTATTCTATTCATTGGAACACCAAAGGAATTATAAATATTCAAAACAGTTTTCATCAAATTCTGTTTTTAAAAAATAGACTACAGTGTCTCACACCTGTAATCCCAACACTCTGGGAGGCCAAGGCAGGAGGATCACTTGAGCCCAGGAGTTCAAGACCTGCTTGGACAACATAGTGAGATATCATCTCTAAAAAATAAAAATAAAATTAGCCAGACATAGTGGCATCTGTCTGTGGTCCCTGCTACTTGGGAGACAAAGGTAGAGAATCACTTGAGCCTGGGAGGCCGAAGTTGCTGTGACCTGTGATCGTGACACTTTACTTCAGCCTGGGCAGCAGAGTGAAACACTATCTCAAAAAAAAAAAAACAAAAAAAAAAAAACAGGATTGATGGTATTCTCAAATTATTTAGAGGTACTTAAAGGACTAGGGACAGACTCCATCAAATATGATTATCTCTGAGAATTGAGGGAGGCAGGGTGGAAAACCCTTATTTTACATTTGTTGGTGCTTCTTTTTACCTTTCTGTTCTGTCTGACATTTTATTTCTATACATATGGCTTTTGTAATAACCTTAAAAGATCCATTAGAGCAGCCCCATGTGATCCATGTGAAGCTATGTGGATCTTGTTATTTTTACTAAAATTAGTAAAAGTGCCACAATCCAGTGTTATTTTGACAACATTCATTTTTCACCTCTGTTCCTAGCTTTTGTTACTCATTAGAATATTAAAGCCTTATTGTATGGTGCCTTGTTGTCTCTGACTATGTAATCATTGGCTTAGAAGGAATTAATAAAAGCAGAAACTATATTTTTATGTAGCAATGTACACACATTATGTATTATTACATAATAATGAATGCATATATGTATGAATGTTATATATGTATGTAATAAAAGCAGAAGTTTGCAGAGTTTCCTGCTTCTGTAACAGCCTTTATCATATTTTATGAATATAGGCCAATTATCTTTTAAACTTGAATCAAATATGGAATGGAAATGGGGCAACGTTTAGATTGGGGGCAGTACTCATAAGTATTATTATTTTCAAGGGAAAAAGAAAGATATTAAAAAAAATCTTTAGAAAGAGTTTTATTAATTGACAGCATGCAGCATATCCAGATATGTGTTTACTATGTTTAAAATGTGGAAAAAAATCTGTTAAATCTAAGTACTTTTTAAATTATCAAGAGAAAGACAGGCCAGGCGCAGTGGCTCACACCTGTAATCCCAGCACTTTGGGAGGCCAAGGCGGGCGAATCATGAGGTCAAGAGATCATGACCATCCTGGCCAACATGGTGAAACCCTGTCTCTACTAAAATACAAAATTAGATGGGCATGGTGGCACGCATCTGTAGTCCCAGTTACTCAGGAGGCTGAGGCAGGAGAATTGCTTGAACCCAGGAGGTGGAGGTTGCAGTGAGCCGAGATCACACCACTGTACTCCAGCCTGGCGCCTGGCAACAGAGCAATACTCTGTCTCAAAAAAAAAAAAAAAAGGAGAGAATAAAAAGAAGGGGTGGAGGAATGGGTTAAGTGTAGTGCTGGAGAAAACAACAGTTTCTGGAGTGAGTTAAGAATTTCAGCAAACCTAGCAATGTTGCCAGCCCAGTGATACCACAGGCTAATATAGATTGAGTAACAATATCTGACATTTAACTAAGACAGAATTGGGTCCCAGGAGAAGAATATGAGAGATTGCTATAATGAATCAAGGCAGACTACTCAAATCAAACAAAGTCAGGAACTGTAGAACAGGAAAAGTTGCTATTAGAGCTTTCTAAGATTACTGCAATGTATGCTGTTTTTCTGTGTTAGTTTTCTTTAGTAATATAATTCTTAAACCAAAGGCCTACCTGCTTATTCTCATTCTTAGAATGTTTGAAGAAAAGAATAGCTAGAGAAAAAAATTTGTATCCTATTGTCAGTATAGAAGAGAAGAAAAGCTAGCAGATGCTCTGAGGAGGAGCCCAGGCTGAAATCCCAAGGACTGCTGAGTGAGGAAAAGGGACACTGAGGATGAGTCCAAGGATCAGACTTTATCTGAGGACATGACCAGAGGTGTTTAACTTGCACCTTTCTGACTCTCAGTGTTTTCCTCCTCGTATTGGCTGTGTGTATGTGGCCTGCTATAGCAACTGTGGTCCCCAGAGTAGAACTTTGATATGTACAGATTGAATAGTTATGGTCCAAACCATTCCCAAGGCACTCCTTGTTCAAAATGTCCACCATCCCTTAGGTGGTAACTCCTGTGGAGCTCTGTGTTAGTCGTTACGCATCTGGATGTGTCCTTCCCAAATATCAGTGACCCAATCAATCTATTCCTGAGTTTTGCAGTTTCCCTTTAGCATAGCTCTTTCCAGAATTATTTTATAAAAAGGCCAACATCTCTTTTGATAGAACACTTTAAAATAGCAGAATTATTTAGCATAGTTTAAAAGTGGTTTTGTTTTTCCCATTAATACTATTTTTTGTGGTTTTTCAAAAATTACTTTTGTAGCCAAAGGAGACTTTTTTTAGAATCTTCACTCTTAACTATTTGAGTAGGTGTGGCAGATTTGAAACTATATTAATTCTTCTCTATACATGAGGACATCACTAGTTCCAAACATTTTTGTAAGGATGAAATTTTTTTAAATTAGCCACTGATTCTTAATATAATTAATGTAAAAGCTACAGTGTTTCTATTAATGGGAAAAATAAACTGAAGAGCCATATTAATACTATTATTAATATAAACATTATAAATACCTGCAGTTATATGCATATAATGAAACTGATAAATATGAAAAAGTTCTCATAGCCATCTCAAAATTACAACCAGAGTTTCTGGGTTCCATTCTGCTCAAAATAGGGTTTTAGAAATGTATTTAAATGAAACATTAATTCATTTTTTTGTTTTTGTTCTTGTTTTTGTTTTTTGAGACAGAGTCTCTCTCTCTGTTGCCCAGGCTGGAGTGCAGTGGTGCGATCTCTGCTCACTGCAACCTCTGCTTTCTGGGTTATGCGATTCTCTTGTCCAGCCTCCTGAGTAGCTGGGATTACAAGTGCCTACTACCACGCCCGGCTAATTTTTATATTATTAGTAGAGACAGGGTTTCACCATGTTTGCCAGGCTGGTCTTGAATTCCTGACCTCAGGTAACGCATCTGCCTCAGTCTCCCAAAGTGCTGGGATTACTGGTGTGAACCACTGCACCTGGCCTGAATTTGATTATAATAACATAGGAATAAGAGCACACTGAGAAGAGATAATATATAACTAATGCTAAAAATGAATGGTGTGATAGAAGAACTTCACTTGCTTCCTGGCTGATTTCAGAGAACCTTACTTGCAGGGCACAGTTGGATCTATAAAGATATTATGAATGTAAATTAAAATGGCAATGAGATATTATCTCACCTCAGTTAAAATGGCTTTTATCGAAAAGACAGGCAATAACAAATGCTGGTGGGGATGTGGAGAAAAGGGAACTCTCGTACATTGTTGGTAGGAATGTTAATTAATACCACTACCACCACTATGGAGAACAGTTTGGAGGACCCTCAAAAAAAAAAAAAAAAAATAGCCACCATATGATCCAGCAATCCCACTGCTAGGTATATACCCAAAAGAAAGGAAATCAGTATATTGAAGAGATATCTGCACTGCTGTGTTTATTACATTACTATTCACAATAGCCAAGATTGGAAACAAACTAAGTATCCAACAGAATGGGTAAAGAAAATGTGATACGTAGACACAATGAAGTACTATTCAGCCAGAAAAAAGAATGAGATCCTGTCATTTGCAACAACGTGGGTGGATTATGGAGGTCATTATGTTAAGGGAAATAAGCCAGGTGCAGAAAGACAAACTGCATCTCACTTATTTGTGGGAGCTAAAAATCAAAACAATTGAACTCATAGAGATATAGAACAGAATGATGTTTACTAGAAGCTGACAATGGTAGTGGGGGTGGGGGGGATGAGGGAATGGTTAATGGATACAAAATACAGAAAGAATGAATAAAACGTAGTACAACAGGGAAATTATAATCAATAATAATTTAATCGTACATTTTAAAATAACTCAATGAGTATAATTGGATTATTTGTAGCACAAAAGATAAATGCTCGAGGTGATGGATACCCCGTTTACCCTGATGTGATTATTATGCATTGTATGCCTGTATCAAAATATGTAATCAGTAAATATATACAACTACCATGTACCCACAAAAATTTTTTTTAAAAGATATTTTGGTTCACATAAGCAAAAACGTAAAGAGAACTCTGATATGGGAAGAAATACTTTCCGCTCTTTGTAGTTGGAGAAGTCAGTACTTTCCGATGAAGATAATTTTAGATGATCTAGGTTCCTTGGATAAAAACTATTTAAAAATCCTTTTTGTTCAGAATAGGGGAGGATCATATCTCAAACCGGTATAACATCTAGTAATTGAATATTTAAAATTTTATATACTTAGAAATTCAATCTTTTCTGAGTAATAGAATTCTTAAGATAAGTAAAAATAAATGAAAGAGTTTGTTAATGAAAAAGCCATCATTCAGAGTACACATCTAACACTATTAGAAACATGAAAGCCCACATATTATGATGTTTTGCACAATACAAATTGTACTTTGTCCCAAGTATTGAACCTTTAATTAATAATGTTTGTCTGTTTTGACATATATACAGTCTGAAAAGCAATACTGGGTTTATTTCAAATGTTTGGAGCAATATATAATAAATTGTTATACTATAATTTGAGGAATGTTTTAAAATATATAATGGTTATTCATCTAAATATCTGTTTATTTGTATTTGTTTTAGTTTATGATCGAAATAAAGAACTCTGCTGTATCTTGTATACCAACTGATTGGGTAAAGGTTGGAAGGTAGGTTTAAAATAAATTTTTTACTTATAATGAATTTTAATGACATCTGTATATCTATGTGCTACTGGACTGATAATAACCACATTCTTTAAACTTAAAGCAATTCTTTTTATTTTCTTCTTCTCATGGAACTTTTTGATTTCTTGTAGTTTTGTTCCTTGGCTCAGGCTGGAGTGTAGTGGTGCAATCTCAGCTCACTGCAACCTTTGCCTCCCTGGTTCAAGGGATTCTCGTGCCGCAGCCTCCCGAGTAGCTGGGACCACAGGTGTGTACCACCGTGCCCTGTTAGTTTTTGTATTTTTAGTAGAGATGGGTTTTCACTCTGTTGGTCAGGCTGGTCTTGAACTCCTGACCTCAGGTGATCTACCCGCCTTGGCCTCCCAAAGTGCTGGCATTACAGGTGTGAGCTGCCGAGTCTGACCCTTTGTTATGGAACTTTTAACCAAGGAGATTATTATTTTTAACTCTTCCTCATTGATTTTAAAACATTTTTCAAAAGAGTATCTTATTTTTCACATTTGTTTTCTTGTTTTGTAAATTATTTTATTCATACAGCACAGGGTACACATGAAAGAAAAGTTGAGGAACCTTCAGTTGTAAGATTAATTTAGTTGCTTGTACTTTCTGATGAATGCTATGCCTGACATTTCTTTTAAGAAGCTGCATTTTCATTTTCTACCTCACTGAGCTCCACATTTCTTTATTCTTAATGCCTTCCTTGGCACATAATTATTATCATTCTTTACATCTTTTTTTGGTAACCCAGATCATGAATTGATAAAAATAAATTAATCAAAAACAAATTTAGAGAACTACATTGGGACTCTGCCTTTTCTCCTTGGTTAGACATTAATCCCCAAGGGGGACTCATTTAAAGACAAGGTATTAGGGAAGTATATACAGCTGTGAGTAGTGCTCTTTGTGGAATGTTTATTAGAACTATTACCAATAAGTTGCACAAACAGGATAAATATGGTACATTTGCCTAAGGTGGTAGAAGAGGGACTGGTAGCTGGTAATAGTGTATGGGCATTCTGTTTTAAGGATGAAGGACAATTTTGAATTGTGTGAATGATTGTTAATTTATTATTATATTATTGTTACTATTTTTTGAGAGGGAGTCTCTTTTCGTCATCCAGGCTGGAGTGCAGTGGTGTGATCTCGGCTCACTGCAACCTCTGCCTCCAGGGTTTTAGTGATTCTCCTGCCTCAGCCTCCCAAATAGCTGTGATTACAGGTGCCTGCCACTAAGGCTGGCTAATTTTTTTGGTATATTTAGTAGAGATTGGGTTTCACCATGTTGGTCAGGCTGGTCTTGAACTCAAGTGATCCACCTGCCTCAGCCTCCCATTTATTTATTTATTTAAGCCACAGTCTTGCTCTGTAGCCCAGACTGGAGTGCAGTGGCATGATCTCAGCTCATTGCAACCTCTGCCTCCAGGGTTCAAGCAGTTCTCCTGCCTGAGCCTCCCAAGTAGCTGGGATTACAAGCACATGCCACCATGTCAGGCTGATTTTTTTTTTTTAGTAGAGACAGGGTTTCACCATGTAGGCCAGGCTGGTCTTGAACTCCTGACCTTGTGATCCCTTGTGATCCACCCTATTCGGCCTCCCAAAGTGCTGGGATTATAGGCACGAGCCATCGTGCCTGGCCCATAATTCATTATTTTAACTTAAAAAGAAAATGTTTATTATCCATTGCCACATTACCAAATGTTGAAGGCACAGGCATGCATTTCTTTCACACTAATACCATTATTTTTTTAAAAAATGCTACCAGAAGGTGTACTTTAGATTTGGGTATTGTTGATTCTAGGGATGTTGTTTTCTCTCTTTGCAGGCATTCTTTCCTTTATCTATTTTTGTCCTATACCACAGATAATGAATGAAATATGCTTTATGAAGAGAAACTGCCAAAAACCATGTTAGTCTGTCTACAACAATAACCGAAATGTCTCACTGAATAAGTTTTGTCAGAAGAGAAAGCTTTGATAAATATGTTGGCATAGAAGTCTAGATGATGTAATTTAAAAGCAACAAGCAAGGCGTAAATCAGTGTCACCATCTTTTGAATGTTCAATAATGTAAATTGAATCAACAGATACGATGGTTTTGGAAAGGTTCATTGCAGTTTATCTGTTCGGCCATAGGGCTTTGACAGAGATAGGTTAGAACATCAGCAGTCAGATTTTGATTGCCAAAGGCCCACCCCTAATTCAGCAAGTTGGCAAATTAAAGTCTAGCAGTGTATTATAAGAGTGGGGGAGCAAACAAAGACCAGACACCTTGACCTTTTCTTCTTGAGGACTTATCATCATAATGACAGCATTAACAGCAATGGCAACCACCACCACAAAACAACTAGTTTTTATTGAATACATATGGGTGCTTTCCTAACTGCTGTCTTTTTGATCCTCTCAATAGTACCTATGAGGTAGTTACTATTACCCATATTTCATAGATGAGGAAAGTGATATTTAGAGAAGGTCTGTTCCATTTGCCCCAAATGACCTAGCTAGTAAGTAAGTTGCAGGACCAGAGACTCAACCTGGCTTCTCTGACTGGGGATCCATGGCATCCCCTGTCGTGCTCTACAGCTACTGAATGGAGAGCAGAGATGATACTCAAGCCCAGATGGGGAGCATTTGGTATTTCCTCCCATCCAAGGCCACTGTGAATCTGCACAGATCACAGTATCCTAAAGATCTCTTTTTTAATTGCCTCCTGAATTAATGCATTGCTATTCTTTGTAATGCTTTTTATTTTTCTTTTTTCATTGGAATACTTCAGTCATACAGAAAAGTCCATAAAACAAGGAATAGTATAACCTTCACCAATGTATCTACCTCCCAGCTATGTCATGCTTTCTTTTACCATATTTGCTTCTCATCTTTTTAAAAAAGCATTCTCACTTAGTATAATTTAAAGAAAAAAGCTTTTTGCCTATGAAATAAAAATTGTAAACTCTGACTTTGCCATATGGATATAATTTGAAATGCATTTAGAAAGACTTCCTGAGCAAAGTCATATTCTTTGGAATCAGTAGAGTTCAGGACCATAATTAAAGAATGTTCCTCTGTTTACAGCTGTTTACTTTCAAGGTTCATCAGAGAATAATAAATAACTACTTTAATTTTCTAAAGTGATGGCATTTTGATTTTTTACTAACCTTGATTTCCTATTTATGTTTTTTTCCCCTCCTCTAGCACAAAAGCTGTGAGCCGTTTTCACTCTCCTTTTATTGTAGAAAATTACAGACATCTGAATCAGCTCCGGGAGCAGCTAGTCCTTGACTGCAGTGCTGAATGGCTTGATTTTCTAGAGTGAGTTTACAATGAGAAATATAGTCTGACTTTTTGCTTTGAGAAACAGACCGGAAAAGTCTTTCCATCAAAAAGAAAATAGAGATTACAGCTTGTGGCCCACCATGAAATAGTTGAGTACATGTGTTCTCTGATTTTACTTCTTTTTTTTTTTTTTTTTTGAGACAGTCTTCACTCTGTTGCCCAGGGTGGAGTAGTGCCATGGTACAATCTCAGCTCATGGCAACATACACCTCTCAGGTTCAAGAAATTCTTCCTGCCTCAACCTTCTGAGTAGCTGGGATTACAGACTTCTGCCACCACACTCAGCTAATTTTTAGTAGAAACAGGATTTTGGCATGTTGGCCAGGCTGGTCTCGAACTCCTGACCTCAAGTGATCTGCCTGCCTCGGCCTCCCAAAGGGCTGAGATTACAGGCATGAGCTACCGCACCTGGCCTAAAATCTATTGAAAGTTAAAATGACCACCTAGGTTCACCTACGTTCATCACATGTTAGCTTTTTTTTTTTTTTGAAGCTGGTAACATCAGTTTTATTGGGTTGGGGCAGCAACCATAGCCTGGCTGGGGGTGGGGCCAGCCCTCACAGGTTGTTGAGTTCCAGCAGGGTCTGGTCCAAGGTCTGGTGAATCTCGACATTCTCCTCCTTGGCATTGGCCAAGATCTCTTCTAGGTCATCGATGGTTTTCTCCAACTTTGCCACAGACCTTTCAGCAAACTCTGCTCGGGTCTTAGCCTCTTTCAGCTTCTCCTCCACTAGTTTGATCTCCTCTTCATTTTATCTTCTTTGGTGGAATACTCCTCCTCTGAGGCCATCAAGGACTTGAGGGCCTGGTTCACGGTTCGAAGTTCCTCCTCCAGCTGTCTGGTTTGGCTCTCAGCCACCTCAACTCTCTCTTCTGAGCGCTCCAGCTCACCTTCCAGGATCACCAGCTTCCTGGCCACCTCCTCGTATTTGTAGTCTGAATCCTCAGTGATGTGCTTGGCCTCTTTCAGCTGCATCTCCTGCAGCTCCATCTCCTCCTCGTCCTTCATGGCCTGGTTTTCGATGACCTTCATTCCTCTCTTGCTCTCATCAGCTGCCTTCTCAGCCTCCTCCAGCTTCTGCAGGGCTGTAGCCAGGCACTCCTGGGCCTGGTCCAGCTCCTCCTCTACCAGCTGAATGTGGCGGTTCAGGGAGGCCACATCTGCCTCAGCATCAGTGGCCTTCTTCTCAGCCTGCTCCAGTTTCTCCTGGGCCTCCTTCACGGATTCAGAATACTTTTTCACTTCATCCTCTGTCCCCTTCAGCTTCTTCTGGAGGGCCTGCTGCTCCTCCTCCAGCTGCTTGCAGCGATCCTCAGCTTGCTTCTTGTCAGCTTCGGCCTGCTCGGCGCGATCGATGGCGTTCTCCTTGTCCAGCTTCAGCATCTGCATCATCTTCTTGATGGCATCCATGGCTGCGGTGGGGGGTGGGCCAGCCGGCAGGCAGTGAAAACTGGATGGACTAGGCTGGCTGAGCTGACTGGGTGCACGGGTGGCAGGCAAGGAGGACTGAGCAGGACTCCACTTGTTAGCATTTACCACGTTTGTTTTTTATCTCTCTTGTATTTTTTTTTCTGAACCGTTTGAAAGTAAGTTTTAGACATCATAACACTTTACCCCTAAACACTTACCCTACGTCTTTAAAAATAAGGACCTTTTACTATATAATTTTAACACCATTATTATATCTAAGAAAAATTAACATTAACTTATGAATATATTTGAATTTCTTGAATTTTCTCAGTGTCCCCCCCTTTAGATTTTTAAATGAAAGACCTAATCAACATTTACATGTTGCATTTGATAATTATGCTTCTTTAGTCTATTTGAACCTAGAATCGTCTACCACCCTTTTTTATTTTTATACCATGGTGTTTTTTGAAGAGTCCTTGCCGTTGTCTCAAAGAATGTCGCACATTCTGGATTTATTGATAGTCATGTGTTCATATTGGCAGTTTTAAGTCATGGTGTGCTGGCGAATGATTAATAGCCAGCTCTTTGGAAGAACAGTCATGTTGGTAGAATTTGCTTTCTGAAGTGTAAACATTCTCACCAGGGTTGATTTCAAGCCACTAGTGGATTGGAGCTGGGAAGAGATGTGCACAGTTGTTTTTCATGAATCCATAGGAGCCAGCTCTAGGCCACCACTGGGCTAAGTACTTTATATATAAACTCATTATTTTTCACATGAGCCCTATGAAGCTAAGTATCATACTCAACTTACAAATGAATAAGGTGAGATGCAGAAATAAGAAGCTAATCTTCCAAGGGTAGGGTTGGAGTCAAGATTCAGCCCCAGCCATCTGACAGCCAGGTGTGTGGCCTTTGCCAGCCTGCCCACAGTGAGCCCACAGGCATCAGTCTAAATGCGTCTCTACTAGTCTCACTTTAAACCATAAACAGGCCAGACACAGTGGCTCACACCTGTAATCCCAGCGCTTTGGGAAGCTGAGGTGGGCAGATCACTTGAGGCCAGAGTTCAAGACCAGCCTGGACAACATGGTGAAACCCTGTCTCTATGAAAAATAAAAAATTAGCCAGGCATGATGGTGTGTGCCTGTAATCCCACCTAACTAGAGAAGCTGAGGCACAATAATTGCTTGAACCTGGGAGGTGGAGGTTGCAGTGAGCTGAGACTGTGCCTCTGCACTCCAGCCTCAACAACAGAGTGTGACTGTCTCAAATAAATAAATACAACTTTAAACAGTAAAAATTCAGTGATGTCCTTCAGGGAGCTTTATTGCATTTCAAGTAATCAACCTGATACGTGAAAAAACAAAACAAAACAAAACAGATATGTGAGAATTTTTACAAGGTGGTAAGTTGGTACCAATCTTTTTGCCCTGAGGAGTGTCAAATTATAAGACCAGGAAGAAATTCCAGTTTACTTAAATCTTTTGCGATTATCTTTACTCAGAATATTGAATGCAGGGATAAAAATTTTGTCTATCAGTTTCTTTTCTATTTCACTTTGAATTTTCCATTTTAAAGGTTTTCAGGGCCTTTGAGTCTTTCAGTTCTGCCGACTTTTTTCTTAGTATTACCACTGAAAATTGAACTAAAATTACACCTTTCAATCTTCAAGGACTCACATTCTAGAAGGGTCCTGGGATTTGGTGAGGTAATTTCATGTTCATTCCATTCAGACTGTACATAGTTTCATAGATCTGGCTTCTATTCTCTCTGTCATTATTCCAGACTCAGGAAAGTTCAGGTCTCCTGGCTAATCATCTTGGTGTTATTTATCTTCCCTTTGGTCCTTTTATCTGTTATAAAGTTCTTTTTTTTTTTTTTTTTTTTTTTTAGTTTTTCTGTCTCCCTCTGCCACCCAGGCTGGAGTGCAGTGATATGATCATGACTCATTGCAACCTTTACCTCCCAGCTCAAGCAATCCTCTTGCCTCAGCCCCCTAGTAGCTGGGACCACAGGCATGTACCACCACACCTGGCTAATTTTTAAGTGTTTCTGTAGAGACAGGGTTTTTCTATGTTGCCGAGCCTGGTCTTGAACTCTTCGGCTCAAGTGATCTGCCTGTCTTGGCCTCCCAAATTGCTGGGATTATAGGTGCCAGCCACCATGCCCAACCTGTTATCAAATTTCTGATTGTCTTTTTCCCCTTTGAGATGTCTCTTTGATTTGTCCCTTCTTCTGTTGTTCCGACAGCCCACTGTTACCTCAAACCGTTCTTTACTGCATCAGCCTTCTGACTGGGCATTCTGCTAGGTTGACCCAGGAGTTTTTATCATATCATCCCTAGGCTGTAATTGAGAGTTGTGAAGAGTGAGCTAACAGTAAATATAACATCACAGAAGAATGTGATATTCTAATTACTAAGTGAAGAAAATGATGTAAAACAGTCAAACTATGATACAATTTTGTGTGTGTATATTCACATAATGCACAGCATACAAACTTTTATATTTATAAAGATTAAATATATATACTTACTGTATTCCTAATATGCTTATTGACCATGTATATATCTTTGGAGAAATATCTATCCATATATACATATGAACATATATATGTATGTATATATAGACTCAAAATGTTAACTGATTATTTCTGGAGGTTACTGGTGATTTTAATTTCTTTACTTTGCAAATGCAGTTGGCTCTCCGTTCTGCATTCATGGATTTAACCAACTGCAGATTGAAAATATTCGAGGAATGAAAAGGATGGTAACATCTATATTGAACACATACAGGCTTTTTTCCCCCTTGTCATTATTTCCTAAACAGAACAGTATAACTGCTATTTATTTATAGCATTTACATTGTATTACATATTATAAGTAATCTAGAGATGATTTAAAGTATATGGGAAGGTGTACATAGGTTATATGCTGCAAATACTTTATCATTTTGTATAAGGGATTTGAGCATATTGGATTTGGGCATCTGGAGGGGGTCCTAGAACCAGTCCTCTCTGGATACTGAGGGATGACTGTACATGATTTCAGAAGTTCCTATATTGTACATATACTACTTTCAAAATAAGAAAAATGTATTAAAGTTTTTATCTAGGAGGCTGAGGCAGAAGAATTGCTTGAACCCGGGATATGGAGGTTGCAGTGAGCTGAGATAGCACCATTGCCCTCCAGGCTGGGTGACAGAGTGAGACTCTGTCTCAAAAAAAAAAAAAAAAAAAAAAGTTTATATCCAAAAAAAGAATATTGGCTGAAAATTTGGAGCATTTGTAGCTAGAGCCCCCACTTGAGTGTAGTATTGATTGTTATGTACACTATTTATTGAGGTGCCAGATGGTGTGACTATGATATCATTGAAAAAATGATTAATTTCCATGAACCTGACATCAGAGGATTAAATACCAGCATTACAAATATATTTGTCACTTACCGTGGTACTAATTGTTGTGCATTACTCATATTACTTTTGATCAAAATGTTACCAGAAATTAAGGCTGTAGACACTGCTGTGGATTAAATCCTCCCTTAAAACATGTCTCTCTTCTTTTTCGTTCTTGAAAATGGACTGTGGATATTCAGTAGTCATCTCAATTGCAAATTCTGTAAACATTGAACTATAACATCATATAAGAAAAATTGTAGAAATTCATTTGCAAATAAAAAATAAAATATTTTCAACTTTTATTAACTTCAGATATCATTGAGCATAATATCAGATATCATAGAGTTGGTAAACTTCGCTAGTCATCATTAACAGCTTTAGAACCCAAGTGTCTTCATCTGCTTTCCATGGGCCCAGCAGTATCTTTTAGCCAGAGACTAAGTCAAGTGCCTTGACTTCATCCTTAAGTTGGTTGGTAGCATAGTGATGAAATTGCTTGTTATGCTGTAAATGCAGTCTGTAGGATTATTATCTGCATTGACTATTTTTCACCTTATTATTTTTCTAAGTATAAATAATCTCTTTGAAGTTTGGCAAAGTGTATCAAATGGACAAAAACCAAGAAGTCAAACAAAGCTTCTTTTTTTTTTTGAGACAGTCTGGCTCTGTCACCCAGGCTGGAGTGCAGTGACACTATCTTGGCTCACTGCAGCCTCCGCCTCCTGGGTTCAAGCGATTCTCTTGCCTCAGTCTCCTGAGTAGCAGGGACTACCGGCACACGCCACCACACCTGGGTAATTTTTGTATTTTTAGTAGAGACAAGGTTTCACTATGTTGGCCAGGATAGTCTCGATCTCCTGACCCAAACAAAGCTTCCTTAAGAGTTATGATGATGTTGGGCCAAGCACGGTGGCTCATGCCTGTAATCCCAGCACTTTGGGAGGCCGAGGCAGGCTGAGGCAGGCTGATCACAAGGTCCAGAGATCAAGGCCATCCTGGCCAACATGGTGAAATGCCATCTCTACTAAAAATACAAAAGTTAACTGGGCATGGTAGTGCATGCCTATAGCCCCAGCTACTCGGGAGGCTGAGGCAGGAGAATTGATTGAACAAGGTGGAGGTTGCAGTGAGCCAAGATTGCACCACTGCATTCCAGCCTGACGGCAGAGTAAGACTTCGTCTAAAAAAAAAAAGAGTTATGATGATGTTATAGGTTTATGATAATTTTTCATTTTATTCACAACTTATTTTTACCATTGACATTAGAAAGAGCATTGTTGTTCATATCAAATTAATTACTTTATCTCTCCTTGCTTTTTTGTTGTTTTAACTGAAATGGGACCTACCTCATTTCATCTTAAAAATTAGATCATCAGAGACAGTTACCCTCAAGTCAGGCTACTGAGTAGTAGCAAATTAGGGTCTTGAGAACCTGGGCAGGACCTGAGAAGGAAGGAAAGAGAGTAAGAAAAAAGAAAACTGACCATTTGTTAGTGCCAAAGCTTTGTTACTCATGTCCAGAGAGGCAAGAGAAGGAACACCAACTGTGGCTGCTTTCTGGCAAAAGAGAGGGTTGCTAGATAGGAGGACCAGTTGGGTTAGAAATTAGAACAGACACAGCATACACCACAGTGCAAGAGGGCAATGAGTGGTCAGATCTAAAGTTGAAGCTATGGCCAGGTGCAGTGGCTCACGCCTGTAATCCCAGCACTTTGGGAGGCTGAGGCAGGTGGACTGCTTGAGGCCAAGAGTTCAAGACCAGCCTGGCAAGCCTGGGGAAGCCCCATCTTTACTAAAAGTACAAAAATTCTCTCGACATGGTGGTGCATGCCTTTTATCCCAGTTACTCGGCAGGAGAATCACTGTAACCTGGGAGGTGGAGGTTGTAGTGAGCTGAGATGGTGCCATTACACTTCAGCCTGGGTGAAAGTGCTCGACTACTACATCTCAAAATGATAATAATAAAGAATAAATAAAAAGGCAAAGTCAGTGAGCAGTCACTCAGGGTTTAGGGTGGCTCTAACTCTAAACACCCAGGACAGTTAGGGGAGTGCAACATATGCCATCATCAAAACTAGAGCTTTTTTTATTTTATTTTTTTAAATGTTTGTGGGTACATAGTAGGTGTATATACTTATGGGGTACATGAGATGTTTTGATACAGGCACTAAATGTGAAATAAGCATGTCCTAGAGAATGGGGTATCCATCCCCTCAAGCTATTATCCTTGGGGTCACAAACAATCCAATTACATTCTTTAAGCCATTCCAGGATCACGAGGTCACAAGACTAGTGGCCAATATGGGGAAACCCCGTCTCTACTAAAAAAGTACAAATATTAGCTGGGTGTGATGGTGCAAGCCTGCAGTCCCATCTACTCAGGAGGCTGAGGCAGGAAAATCCCTGTAACCCGGGAGGTGGAGGTTGTAGTGAGCCGAGATAGTATCACCGCGCTCCAACCTGGGCAACAGAGTGAGACTCTGTCTCAACAAAAAAAAAAACATTTCAAAATATACAATTAAGTTATAATTGACTATAGTCATCCTATTGTGCTATCAAATAATAGGTCTTATTTATCCTTTCTATTGTTTTTTCTGGAACCATTAACCATCTCCACTTCCCTCCACATTTTAAAGTAGTGACTAAGGGCTGCCTGTCTGATGCCAGAGGCCTGTCCCTTTTGTGTTTGGGGTTTTGCACAGATTCTAACACTGTTAGTGGGAATTGTATTATTTGTTTTGATGAACTTTAATTCAGTGAGAAATAGATAAGTTCTGTCTACTCAGCAAAGAAGTATATAGTATACTGTGAATATATTTTTCAGTTCACAAAAAACACAGAAATGAAGCTGGATAGTTAAAATTTTGTTTCTAATATCTGGAAAAAGTCATTTATGTACAATATCTTATTCTAATAATTCTAGAAAAATCAGAAGTTACAGTTTTTAAAAGTCATAGTGATTATATAGGAACGGTTCCTCATTTTAGTAGCTTAATCTGGATATCTTTTTCAAGCTAGGAAGCACTCTAGAAACTTTTGAATTTCAGTAACTGAGTTACACTCAGATATTATACAGAAAGTAGGTAACTTATTTCTATTTTATTTCTATGTATGCACAAAAATAAGGAAAGATGCTAGTAGGAGTCTATAAAATTGCACTGTGAGTTAGGCTGCTAGCAAGAGCACAGTTTGAGTCTAGGCTCAATTGCTTTAGGCTAACTGCTTTATCTCTCTGAACTTCATTTGTAAAACTTAGGTAATGAAGACCTACCTTTATGGTTGTTGTAAAGAAAAAAATACAGTGGCCTCTTCATTGTCTTTGGTTAGTAAATGTTTGTTTTCCTTTCAGCTTTCCTTTCAGACCTATTTACAGTTAGTTTACTTACTACATTTTCTCATTTTCCAATCTTTTAAGAATGTGTGACATCACCACCTACTTAAAATTTTTTTTAAATTGAACAATGTCTTAATCTCTCTTGGAGGCAGAGTAGTTACTATAAAGATTTAAGCTCAGCTATATATTTCCTCTTACTTAAAAAGATACTTTATACTGGCCATTCTTAAAAACTAAGTTTTGGATCCTTTTTGTAGTTAAATTATGCACACTTCAAACATACACAATTGATCACAACATACAGATGTCCACAATTTGTATGATATTACACACATTGACATAAAATACTATAATATGAGATAATGGGATAATTTAAGAAAAAAGTATTCATGTATGTTTTCTGAATAAGTTGTTCAATAAAAGTCATTTAAGCTTTTAGATCAACAGGTATTCTAAAGTAGCCAAAGACTTGAGGCAATGACCATTGTCTTTTAAAAAACAAATCTAAAATTTAGTTTTTATATTTGTTACTAATAAGATAACTGAAGATAAGTGAAAAAAGTAACTCTCCCCTTGTCTTTAATAAATATTGGCTGGGCGCAGTGGCTCACGCCTATAATCCCAGCACTTTGGGAGGCTGAGGCGGGTGGATCACAAGGTCAAGAGATCGAGACCATCCTGGTCAACAAGGTGAAACCCCGTCTCTACTAAAAATACAAAAATTAGCTGGGCATGGTGGTGCTCGCCTGTAGTCCCAGCTACTCGGGAGGCTGAGGCAGGAGAATTGCTTGAACCCAGAAGGTGGAGATTGCGGTGAGCCGAGATCGTGCCATTGCACTCCAGTCTGGATAACAACAGCGAAACTCTGTCTCAAAAAAATAAAAAATAAATAAATATTTATTACACTATTTGTTTTATGACAACATTATGAACTAGATGTTAGGTCTACGATGGAGTTAATCAGATAGTCTGCTTTCAAGAAGCTTCCATTTTAGTGTGAGATAAAGGTATTGAAACTGTAATTTCAGGTTTGGAGGATGCTATGAGGGAGAAGCACAAGGGAAGTTGACCCACATGAGTAGTTCATGATGTTATTGAAGCGAAATAAAAATGACTGCTGTATTTGTGTTATGTCTAAGTTCAAATGTCAGGGTCAGATGAAATCTGTGATGTGTTCTTAATAGCTGGTATTTTTACATAGAAGCTGTTTTAAATTTATGTAATTACATTCCAAACAAAACAAAAAGAAGCCTCAGTAATCTAGTTATTATATTAAAAAGAGTAGCTGTTCAGTGTAATTTCCATCTCTCTTAACTGTTAGGAATGTCTGCTAATCTTCTGTATGCTTACACTAGCTGATAAAGTGATTGCTTGTTGTAGAGTTATTATAGGTCTAAGAAATCAATTTGCTCGCCTTTTCATTGTTGCTGCTGCTTCCATAGGAAATTCAGTGAACATTATCACTCCTTGTGTAAAGCAGTGCATCACCTAGCAACTATTGACTGCATTTTCTCCCTGGCCAAGGTCGCTAAGCAAGGAGAGTACTGCAGGTAATACTTTTCATTTTCCCCTTTATCAGTGCTTTGGATAAGATGACATTATTCAATTAATTATAGTGTCTTTATTATAAAATATTAAAATTACTCAAATGTGTTAGACTATTGGGAAAGCTGAATGTCATACATATATAGCCTGATTTGAAAATTAACAAATTTCTTGCTTGCTTGCTCTGTCACCGAGTACAATGAAAGCAGATGTTAAAGTTTATGTGGGTGACCTTTTTATAAAGTTTGAGCACTCTTTTCATTTATTTGCTTTTATGTGAACTCTTTTATTATTTTAAAAGTTTGATTCAGCAAGAAAAGACTGAGAAGATAGGGCCTGGGGGGCATTACTGTGATCTGTTCCTTTTGTTAAGAGCCCATATTCATCCCACTATTTTTTGTTGACATCCCAACATGGAATATTTATGCTCTTTTTCATAAGGATGTTAGTATCAAACAAATCTAAATTTAAAATTCAGACACAGCTTTCATACAATTTGTATGTCTTCCAAAACCTGGAGTATATATATACTTAAGAAAAGGTAAGGCTGGGCATGGCGATTCATACCTGTAATCCCAGCACTTTGGGAGGCTGAGGCAGGAACATCTCTTGAAACAAGGGAGTTTAAGACCAGCCTGGGTAACATATTGAAACCCCATCGCTACAAAAATTTAAAAAATTAGCTGGGTTTGGTGGGGCACACTTGTAGTTGCACCAGCTGCCTGGGAGGCTGAGGTTTGCTTGAGCTCAGAAGTTTGAGGCTGCAGTGAGCCATGATAGTGCCACTGTGTGATCGAAACCATCCTGGTCAACATGGTGAAACCCCATCTCTACTAAAAATACAAAAAATTAGCTGGGCACGATGGTGCGTGCCTGTAATCCCAGCTACTCAGGAGGCTGAGGCAGGAGAATTGCCTGAACCCAGAAGGCGGAGGTTGCGGTGAGCCGAGATCGCGCCATTGCACTCCAGCCTGGGTAACAAGAGCAAAACTCCATTAAAAAAAAAAAGGATAGTGCCACTGTGCTCTTGGGTAACAGAGCCAGACCCTGTCTCAAAAAAAAAAAGGAGATACAATTAAAAAATATAAAATAAAATAAATAAATTTGTTCAAGTTCAAATTTTTTTTTTTTCAGGAAGCATCTAGATTCTCCACTTCACTGCCATAGATGTCATCAGTATGCTTTCCCCTGTCTTTGTTGCTATGCCTGTTCTATCCTAGTATATCCTCCCAGCTCTGAGTAATCCTTTGTGTCCAGTTCTACCAGGAAGTGCTTTGTCATTATATAATTTTGATAGCAACAGAGTAAGTCACTTAAAATTTTGTTCCAAAATGAAAATCTTCCTGGTAAATCATATCAGTGTCATGAATATTATATATTGATTTCACTTGGCAGAGCACCTAGGATTTTATTTTAAAATTGATGTGACAAATACTTGTATTTTTTTACAGTGAATTTATAACCCACCTAGATTTTAAAAATCCTGTCTTCAGAATTATACTCTAAAATCCAAAACCTATCCTTTTTTCATAACTTCAGGTGTCTCTGCAACAGATGACTTCAAATTATTTACTCAGGAGATATTGTAGTCACTTCTTTTTTGAGACAGTCTCACTGTGGCCCAGGCCGGCATGCAGTCGTGCAATCTCAGCTCACTGCAACCTCCACTTCCCAGGTTCAAGGGATTCTCCTGCCTCAGCCTCCTGAATAGTTGATATTACAGGCATGTGCCACCACACCTGGCTAATTTTCCTATTTTTAGTAGAGATAGCGTTTCACCATATTGGCCAGGCTGGTCTTAAAACTCCTGGCCTCAAGCAGTCCACCCACGTTGGCCTCCCAAAGTGCTGAAATGATAGACATGAGCCACTGTCCTGGCGTGTAGTCACTTTCTTTGCAAAATAGGAGAGCATTTGGGATTTTATTAGCCAGATATATTTAAGAAGAATAATTTAGGAAAATAGTATTCATTGGTTTTATGAGAAAGTTCAGAAATGTGGTTACATGTTAAAGTTCTGAGTCAAGAACTCGAGGAGGTTGTTGGTAGGAATTAAACTTTTGAAAAAGACCAATGAATGACCAGTAACTGGTGAAAAGATGTTCAATCTTAGTAATCAATGAGTGCAAATTAAAACAGTGAGATAGCACTGTTCACCTATTACATTAACAAACATTAGAAAGTTTAATAATACCAACTCTCGGTGAGGTTATGAGAAAACAAGTTAACTTTCATATCCTGCTTGTAGGAAGTTAGACTGATATCTCTACTATTATCTATTAAAATAAAAAATATGTATACCCTATGACTTAGAAATCCCACCTTGAAAATTTACTCTAGCTTTGGAAAACACTTGGACATGTACATGAAGAGACATGCATAGAATTGTTCATTGCATCATCATTTGTAAGCAAAAATTTGGATGCAATCTAAATGTTTAACAGTGGAAAATGACTAGCTCATCTGTGTAGCAGCTTTGACAGAATGCTGAAAATCTGACAAGAAGTGATCTTAAGTATACTGTAACTATAAAGGTATATTGACCCTACTTTCAGTTTCTTAAAGGCCATCCAAAGAACAAAGACAAAGTTTACTTTTTTTTTTCTTTAAAAAAGAGAGTAAAACCTATTCTGTATTACATTTACCATGTGGGTTTATTGGATTCTTTTATAAATGTAAGATGCATTTTGGGAGCTTCAGTGATCTTATTTTTTCTGTGTCTTGGAACATTTTGTTATTTCATCATCTTGAGAATTATTTCAATATTGTTTATTGATTGTTTCAATTATACTATAAAAATCTAAAATAAAAAGAAAATGGGAGAATGGTGATACACGAGTGAGGGGAGAAATCACTGTCACATCATCCTTCTGTTTTCTTAATGTATTGCCCATGTTACGTCATCTCCCAAGAAGGTATAAAAGAAGAGTGCAGATGCCACAGTGGGAGTCTACTTCTAACTTTCACTGAACACAGTTGAAAATTTAGAATTTTCCGTTTTTCACCCATAAAAGCAAAGAGAAAAAAATTGGCAGAGGTCTTTCACAATTACTAGGTTAATCAAATGATGAATGTGAAGAGAAAGAAACCAGTGCTCTGGATATTCTTGGTGATGGTGAAATTTCATGTATCAGCAAAATCTGAGATTCTGAATGCTCAGACAATATCATAGGTGAGTTTTCTCAAACTCAAGAATTGGCATGTGAATAATGTATTTGTAAGGGCAAAATGAACCCTGTTATTCTCATCAGTTAGTCATTCAATAGGAAACATTCATCATGAAATATTTGGTGACAAGAACCTGGACTATCCCGTTTTGCTGAAAGACATGTGATAGTATTCTTTTATCTTTAATGATATTTATTCACTAAAATTTACTAGATACAATTTATAGGTGGACAGACAGGAGATTGAAAGGATATAGCTGATGTAGAATAAAAGTACTCATTTGATTATTATAATTGGTGTTGATAAGTCTAAAAATGAAAATATTTTGCAATTATGGAGCAAAGATGATCATCTTTTCTTTAAGGAAATCATGAGCTTTAAAAGATTTCAAAACTTTCAAGTATTAGCATTTTGTTGATACAAGTATGAAAAGAATCAGAAATAATGAGCTCTAAAACCTATTAGAAATGTATTAATATTTGGAATGTAGTATTTATGATTGAATATGTTCCAGGTGCATGCTTGACAGCTGATGAGCAATGACATTCAGAATGTGTTACTCATTTCAGATATATATGCCTTGAAAACCAGGAAAATATGGAATAAAACTTTGAGATTTGCTATGTTTAAATTCTTATTAAAATTTTTCGTGAGGTTGATTTTTTTTACTATTCCTTTATTCATATTTCCAATTGTTTGTGAAATGACCTTAAAGGAGTACATTGGATCCAGATGGTAAATGGTAAAATCTATTTTGTGTGTGTGTACTGAGGGTTAACTCAGTATAGTAACTGAGGATTAACTATTGAATTTTTTAAGTTTCAGAATGATAGATTACAGTATGACTTTTCTAAAGAAATCACAACCAGCATGATGCATATATCAACATAAATGCACAGAAGAAGGTTGGAAAGGGTAGATACCAAGCTGGTCTCAGTAGTAACCTCTGGGAAGGAGAGCTGAGAGTAGGGCAGGGCTCAGAGGGGCTTAGAGACACAGTTAAAACTGTAAATGAAACAAATACAGATGTTTTGCTAAAAAAAACATAAAGACCAACAGTGCACCTAGAACATATTCATTCATAAATACTAAATTCCAAATATCAATACACTTATCACAGGTTCTAGAGCTCATTATTTCTGATTCTTTTCACCCTTGTATCAACAAAAATGCAAATACTTGAAGTTTTTGAAATCTTTTAAAGCTCTTTGCTCCATAATTGTAGAATATTTTCATTTTTAGACTTATCAACACCAAATCAACAAAAATGATTTTTGTATCAAAGTAAAAGATACAAAAGACCATAGAAAGGTGATTTAATTACACAATGTATGAAAATTTCAGGTCAGTTCATTTCCAAATTCAACACATAGTTTATATTAATAATTACATCTAGAAATAATGTTATTTGATTTACATTATTATATTCATTAATGAAAATAAGTAGCAGTAATCTGAACTGTTATCTTTACTAATGAAAATATTGGTTTGATCTCAGACAGTAATAGGAAAATGAAAAATAAAGCCTGGCATGGTGACATGCACCCATAGTTGCAGCCTCCTCAAGGGGCTGAGGCAAGAGGATCACTTGAGCCCAGGAGCTTGAGGTTGTAGTATGCTATGATTGTGTCTGTGAATAGTCACTGCACTCCAGCCTGGGCAGCACAGTGAGACTCTATCTCTAAAAAAAAAGAAGAAAAAAAAAAGATCTTATAAAGGTAAACTACAAAGGTAAAGCCATTATAAAACCCTGTTGTTTGTGTGTGCGTGTGTGCGTGATGGAGTCTCACTCTGTCACCAGGCTAGAGTGCAGTGGCACAATCTCAGCTCATAGCCTCCTCCGCTTCCCTGGTTCAAGCAATTCTATTGCCTCAGCATCCTGAGTAGGTGGGACTACAGGCATGTGCCACCACGCCCAGCTAATTTTTATATTTTTAGTAGAGACAGGGTTTTATCATGTTGTCCAGGATGGTCTCAATCTCCTGACCTTGTGATCTGCCCACCTTGACCTCCCAAAGTGCTGGGATAATAGGCATGAGCCACCACACCCGGCCCAGACTCTTCTAAAGTATGTGCTTCATTGCACTATTATAATAATAAATGTTTTCCCAATTTTTACTTTATGGTTCCAGTTTAACATTTGTACTCAAGGCCTTATTCTGGACATATGTTCTCAAAATCTATGTTTAAAGTTTTGTTTTCTGTTGTATAAATGGAGTACTGAAATTTTTCATGCTTAGAGATTTTTTTTTAAAGGCTATGTCCATGCCTAGTAAATTGAAACATATTTCTTTTTGCAGACCAACTGTACAAGAAGAAAGAAAAATCTTAATAAAAAATGGAAGGCACCCTGTGATTGATGTGTTGCTGGGAGAACAGGATCAATATGTTCCCAATAGTACAGATTTATCAGTAAGTACTATATTATGCCAAAAAATAAGTTGACAATAACTTTCCAAACTTTTAAATACCAAAGAAATGTTTTTATAATTAAAAGTTAACCAGATTTTAACTTTGGCTTTAAATGGGCTAATCCTGGACATAGTTTTATATTTACCACCAAATGTGGAATTGGTGCTATTTTCAAGGAAACATTATCCGTAGATTTAGTAACTAAAGCTTTAGTTCTAATTAGTTATCCTAGGTAACCCAATAAAAATATTTTACATTTGTAAATACCCAATAAGCAAATAGAGTTGGAATTATACCATAGTTTTGCAAATTCGTACTAGCATGTAGTGTTACATCCTTTGTACTGTGACTATTTTCAGATGTTCTTTCTATGAAAGAATCGGAGATGCCTCTGCAGATTCCAGTGATGAGAATTTTTATTATAGGGACTGGATTTCTCTTACATAACACAAATGATCCTAAATACTTATTCACTTAACACATACTTACTAAGTGCCTGCGTCTCAGGTAAAGCAAGATTAGGAACAGAGAGTGGTAAAGAACACAGAACTCTTCCCTGCCCTCACAGAGCTTATGGTATAGCAGAGAAGATAGGCTAGTGCAATACAGCTTAGTGCCTGGCATGATAGAGGAGACCAGGGTGGCCTGGGGATAGGTAGCAGGTTGACCTAACCCAACGGTGGGGAAGCATTGAGGAATGTTCCCCAGGGATGAGATACCAACTGAAGAATAAATCAGTGCAAGCCAGGGAAGTGAAGGAGCATTCCAGGTAGAAGAACTAGCATAGCAGATGCTGGAAGTGAGGCATAGCAGGATGAATTCAAGGATGGTGAGTAAGGTCGGAGTGCAGAGTGTAAAGAAAAAAGTGTTCAGAGATAAGGAAGAGGCCAGTTCACTTATATCAAGAAATTTACATTTTTCCCCCTAAAAGATTAAGAATACTAGCAAAAGAGTGATTGAAGCTGGGGAAAATAGTGAAGTTGTGGCAGGGTGTGTGAGTTCCATTGTCAAAGATAAATGGAGCTAGGCACTCCAGTGGTAAGGATTGATCTTATTCAGTAATACTCCTGCAATAGGGAAGAGTCCATTGTGAACTGAACTTGAGTTCATTTTGGCATCGATGGCTGGGTGTTTTTTTTTGAGACAGAGTTTCACTCCTGTTACCCAGTCTGGGAGTGCAATGGCACGATCTCAGCTCACCCCAACCTCCGCCTCCTGGGTTCAGGCAGTTCTCCTGCGTCAGCCTCCCGGGTAGCTGGGATTACAGGCACACGCCACTGTGCCCTGGCTGGGTGTTTTAAAGGAAGCTTGAGGGAACAGGGAGAGGAAATGAGCGAGGGGAGGAGAGCAAGTGAGGTGTGGTAATGTGAAACCCATCTGGGTTTACTAATTGTTTGCTTATACCACATTTCTTTTCTTTTTTTTTTTTTGAGATGGAGTTTCGCTCTTGTTGCCCAGGCTCGTGTGCAATGGCGCATTCTCGGCTCACCGCAACCTCCACCTCCTGGATTCAAGCAATTCTCCTGTCTCAGCCTCCTAGGTAGCTGGAATTACAGTCATGTGCCACCACGTCTGGCTAATTTTTTGTACTTTTAGTAGAGACGGGGTTTCACCATGTTGCCCAGGATGGTCTCGATCTCTTGACCTCGTGAGCCACCCGCCTCGGCCTCCCAAAGTGCTGGGATTACAGGTGTGAGCCACTGTGCCTGGCCGCTTATACCACATTTCAAAGAGTAGTTCTCTGGTCCTTAAGAAGACAATTCTGGGTGATAGATTTACATCCCAAAGGGGCAGAAAATGTATTTATAATTGCAAGCTTTCTAAGGTAACTAACTGTTCTAAGAAGGGCTTCAGCATCTGGCTGCCTGTCACCAATTTTTGGCTGGGATGGTGAATACTGGTAGCACTGAGCTTTCTCAGGCAGGTACTTTTAGTGGGGCTGGGGTCATTTTATGGATGCAGTCTTGAGCTGTTAGAAACTGTGCTAGTGGGCTAGTTTCTAAGTGGGAAGGGTAGACAAAATCCTTTTTGCTCAAAGTCTGTAGGTTTTTATAGGTCAAAGTTGAGACCTAGTCCAGAAGAGGGCCAGCGAAACCTGATGAGAATTTGATCAAGGAGAGGGTCTTCATTGACATGGGATAAAAGAGTATGGTGATGGGTCAAATAATTAATATGTAGGGAGTAGTTACGTGAGAGAGAAGGTATCAGAGAATGAAATGCCTGACTTTCAGATTGCAGACGTGGTGTTCTTCTGGGTGATGGCAAGTTCCTAGGTATGGCAATGGAAGGTGGGTAGCAGAAGGGAGAAAGTCTTTGGAGATGGAGAGATCAAGGAACAGAGTTTGGGAAAAAGTTGCCCATGTGAATGTTGAAGGCTAAGATAACAGCAAGATTGGTCCTAGAAGACAACAGGGATCCAGGTGTCTGAGATTACAAGGAATGGCGATTGGGAATCCTGAAGTTTATATAAGGCTTGCATTGAGGACAGGCAGTGGTAAACTGGAAGGAAGAACTTCCGAGCCCTGAGGTGCATGGTCCATTGTTGGATATGGCAGAAAGCTCAGCCCCCAAATGAGAGACCTGCAGGGGAATAACAAACAGCCAGCCAGGTCTCATCTTAGTGTATGAAGGAAATGTTAAGCAAGGAGGTTAGAAACAGAAGTACTAGGGAACTTTTCTGAGGACAGTGAAAGAATTGAGATGTAGGGGAGCATTTGGAATGTAGGTTAGACAAAGGAAGCTCAGAATAGTAGCAAGTTGGGACTATAACAGAATATTCTACCTTGGGCTATGAACAAGGGTGGCAGAGATGTGTGCAGCCATGGTGCATTTGGCTGGCCATGAGAGGGGGATGTGAAAAGAAATGACATCTAGTTTAATATTGCATTTTCATATCATAACAAGACTTGTTGGTAGTATATAACATGTGTCTTAGTCTGTTCAGGCTGCTGTAACAAAATATCATAGATTGAGTAGCTCATAAACAACAGAAATTTATTTCTCAGAGTTCTAGAGTCTGAAAAGTCCAAGATCAAGGCACCAGCAGATTCAGTTTATGGTGAAGGCCTGTTTCCTGATTCATAGATGGCATCTCACATGGTGGAATGAGTAAAGGGTCTCTTACCCATGTCCTCACATGGTAGAAGGGGTCAGGGATCTCTCTCAGGCCCTCATGAACCTATCACCTCCTGAAGGCCCCATCTTCTAATACCATCGCCATGAGTGTTAGGATTTCAACATATGAATTTGGGAGAGACACAAACATTCATATCATCACAACCTAAGACCCAGTGTTTTTAAACTTGTTCATTCTTATTAGGAAGTTTTTATATTTATTAGTCAAACAAGTTAATAAGTAGCAATTTTTTTTTTGTCTTTAAAAAGAAGACTATGTCTTTGGGAGGCTAAGGTGGGAGGATCAGTTGAGGTCAGGAGTTCAAGACCAGCCTGGCCAACATGGTGAAACCTTGTTTCTACTATACATATAAAAATTAACTGGGCATGGTGGCACCTGCCTGTGATTCCAGCTACTCAGGAGGCTGAGGCAGGAGAATTGCTTGAACCCGGGAAGCCACTGAACTCCAGCCTGAGCAACAGAGTGAGACTCTGTCTCAAAAAAAAAGAGAGATAAGAATTTTTTTTCAGTTCTCATAATTCCAGTAGGATATAGCCTTTCTTGAGAAAGTAATGTAAGTTAAATATAAACTAAGCAACTAAGTATTAGAACTATAAGTCTCTTAAAATAATTTCCTGTTACTGTTTCCATGCCCTTCTACTTGACCCCAAGAATATTACCCTTGGGATTGACTTTTTTCTTTTTTCTTTTCATTCATTTATTTTTCCCTTTTTCTTTTATAAAGTATATTACACTTTAATAAAGCAAGATTTGAAGAACTAAAATAGCCTTCTGTCTAATTACAATAATGTTTTAAAGAAACATTGAATTCTTATATTTAAATCTTTACAAAAAAAATGGAGTAATTTTTTTTCTAAGCAGGCACCTCAGAATATTCCAGAATATTCATTTCTATTACATATGCTTTTTCTAACTTGAGTAGGAGTTGATATAGAACTGTTGCTATGGTGAAGTGCATTCTATTTTTCAGGGTATAAATTTATATATAGGGATAGTGTTGAGAAAGAACTTACGTAAAATTCAATTTGAAATATTTTATGGATGGTAATTATAAAATATACTCTGAACATAATTTTAAAGTTAAATGACATTGTTGCTTTTGATAATGTAGTTTTAAGAACGAGTCTTTTGTACATGGAATTGTAAGTATACTTTTCTGCATTCTGTATTACATGAACTTATTATAGTACTTCTAAACAAGCCAACTTTCTGCCCGCTTTTTCTCTCTCAGTTTTAAGAATACTTTTTAAAACCCTCTTTCTTTTTGTCCCCTTCCTTGATTCACTATATAATCCAAGCATTTATCCACATGGTCGCCACTGGAGCGCCCTCTTCCGCCCTGCCCACCTCCTTGCATTCTCTGCTCTGTAGCCACAGGGCTTCTGGAACCTGCCCTGTCACCCTCCCTTTTGAATTCATGCTTTACACTCCAGCCAGATTGGACTTTGTGTGGTTCCCAAGTCATTGTGCCTCTGGGACTTGACAGATGGTGTTCCCTCCACCTAGAATATCATCTTTCCCCACCCCACCCACTCCCGCCTGACACACACCCAAATCCACCCACCCACCCCACTCCCCAGCTCTGGCTTGTTCAAGTCTTGCCTTGGATGTCAGCTCTTGCATTCAGCCTTCCTTCATCTACCTGGGATGGGAAGCCCTCTCACATCCCCTTGCCACTCTATTTCTCCACATCTCAGTATTTATTTCACAAAAGTATAGTCTTTCTTTCTTTCTTTTTTTTTTTTTTGTCTACCTTTCTCGTTGGACTATAAGCATGAAGAGAAAAGGGACTGCACCTCTGTCACCTGTGTGTAATCCCAGGATCAGTCACAGCTCTCTGGCACATAACTGGCACCTAATCAGA